CCTGGATTTACAGTTTATTTTCAAAAATGAGTATTAGTCATTCATCACCCTATTTATAAAAAAAACAACCTATGATATTGCAATTGTAAGAAAAAAATAAATAGATTTAACATTTTTTTTTGATTGAAAGCTGTCATTTGTAGTCCAGCCAATAAAGATTTTTCCTTTGTGTTTAAAACATGAATGCGAATCTAGCCTTAAAAATCATTGTGGTTTATCTAGCCTGAGAACTAGATAAACCACAATGATAAATTTTAGATAAACTTCATTTTATTTTCACTTTTTCGATATCAAGGCATGTATTTTTTAGTCTGGTTAATAGGCATTTCCCGTTTTTGTTTGTGAACTATATGAATTTAAAGCAAAGATTATCTAGGGTACCCTCTGTTTTAATATTATTGTATGTGTTATTTGTTTTAAAAACTTCTTGATAGATCTAGCCAAAAAGTAAATTAATTCTAGTCCAACTGTATTTTCTTCTTGTCTTATGGACATCATAGGTTTTTAAATCAAACCCGCATGAATATGTCGTTATTTTGGTAAACTTAGCGCGTACACTTTACATTTACTTTATTGCTATATTACAGTATTGTACTGTATACATTTGCTGATTTTTATTGAGATTTGTATCTCTTTTATTTAGGAAGCGTCAAGTGTATCCTTGGTCAAGTATGCTTGGTTTAAATGAGATGTACTTTTGGTATGGCTCTAGATCATTTGAGGAATATCAAAAGAAAAGCAACATGTAAAAATTGGTCAAATGTGAGGTTTGAACCTGCAACAAGTTTGAAAGGCGACACCCTAACCGGGTATGCTATTCTGATGTATCACCGTTCAGAAAATAAGTATATAATTTCACAAATTTATTTAGTATTTTCAATGTTTGGATATTTTCTTGGTATAAATATAAAACTAATGTATAATCCACGTTGAATACAAAATACATCTAATTAAATGAAAATAAATACACGTAAAAAGATATATAATAAAGATAATAAAGATATATAATACGTACTTACCAACTAAAGGTAACACGCACTTTTTTGGAACACAAGCAAAAACATCTATGAGTATATACAATAAATGAATAAAATGTTTACTATGAGGTAAAATTATTTTTGGCTGTTGCTTTTTGCAACTTTGAACCCTCTCTAAGTGAAGGGGTTGTACAAAATGTATTCAGCTTAAGAGCTTTGCCAAGCTCTTAAGCTGAATACATTTTGTACAACCCCTTCACTTAGAGAGGGTTTTACTATTTGATATTAATATAATTTAAAAGTGCCGATATATTTGTTGATGAATTCTATTAATTTTGATGAAATGATGATGATAAAAATATGTTATTCTTAAACTTAAATTACTAGTAATAGCTATTCTTAAATTTAAATTATTACCAGTAATACAATTACTAAGTTTTTACGAAATCTTGTATTACTAGTAATACAATTACAATTAATAGCAGCCGTGGCGCAGTGGTAGCGCACTTGCCTCTGAAAGGTAAGATCCGTGGTTCAAACCCCACCTCTGGGCAAGTTTTGCGACATCGGTTGGGAAGGAGGCGTGAACTGCCTATTAAATGCTCTTCCGCGGTGCTCTGTGATAAGACCGTAAGGACTTCTTGGGGCACCTTAATCAACTTTAAAAAAAAAAAAAAATTACCATATCCTCCCTCGTAATGAAATAACATACGTTAGGGTGTCAATTAAATTAGGGTTACTTTTGTTATTAAATTATTACTTATTTTCATTCGCGTTATATTGTTTACATTTATTTTTAGCTTTATAATGAAATATTTTGAAATTTACGAGTATCAGGAATAATCAGTACTTGATGTATGAAGAGTCTTTCGTACTATGTTGTCAAATTATATCTAATTTTAATGACTTCATTGAACAAAGGAAAGTCGAGGAGATAAAGGAAAAATTAATGAACTTTGTAAAAAGTTTTTAAAAACGTTGGATTGAATGCAGACGAATAGCTGTAAGATTTGAGAATAACTATAGTGAACGTCTTGACAAATGAGAAAGTGATTTTGGAAGAGTGACTAAAGATATTCTTTCCAATTCAGAAAGTCTTGTTACACCGTTAAAAAATCCTATTGGTAGACCAATTGACCAATTGTAGACTTAAACGATTGTTCTTTAAATAACATATTTGTGACTATTGTTGCTAATGTTCCATTAAAAGATCTGGTAAATCATACTTGTACAATTTGTGAATTACAGAGAGAAGTTATTTTGTCTTGTGAGTTTGATAAAGCAACGCTATATTACAAAGCTGGATTTGATGGCTGAACTAGTCTAGGCATTTATAAACAAAAATTGTCAGATAGCAACTCTCGTAATTTATCAAATTAAAATTCCTTATTTACTTGTGTTGTTCCTTTAGAGGTATTTACAAGTACAGATGAAAAAAAAGTTATTTTAAGGAGATACATAAAGCCATCGTCAACCATTTTTTGTCGAACTCTGAGTTTTGAGTTTAAAAAATGCAAACTTAAAAATGAATTAGCAAATTTGATTCTATCCATCGTTGTTGTCGAAGGGCAAAAATATCTGTTACAAACCATATCAAAATCACTATGATTGATGGAAAAGTGCACACTGCCTTATCCAACGCAACTGATTCCAGTCAGTCATGTTCAGTGTGCGGATTTTACCCATCAGAAATGAATGACATTGAAATTCTTATTAAAAGTATTCAACTTATGGTCTCCAGTATGGTTTTTCAAGCTTGCATGCTTGGATAAGAAGCTTTGAATGCTTATTGCATATAAATTATTACATATAAAACTTATTTTACATATAAAACAAAAATTAAATCTTGGCAAGCATGATCAATTGAAGGAATTTAGTAATGGAGCAAAAAAGTTTAATTCAGAAAAGGTTCTTGGATAAACTCGGATTGGTAGTAGATCAACCAAGAGCATGTAGTAGTGGAAATGTTAACAATGGCAACATTGCTAGCTTGTAGCTGGTACAGCCAGGACAGCTTTTTTACATGTTATAGTTTATTGTATCTTTAGTGGTTTTGAATTTTTGACATTTTAAAATTTTGGGATTATTGTTTTTAAAACTGCCAGATATTTTGTTAAATGTTATTCCTGATACTACATGCCTCAAAGTCTGCATAAAATATTGATACATGGATATATTATAGTGGAAAAAATGATATTGCCTATTGTTGTTATGTCAAAGGAAGCACAAGAGGCTTGTAATAAAGAGTTTAAGAGTTATCGCCAACACCATGCAAGAAAAGTAAGTCGATCAAAATGCAGATGTAATAAAACGACTGTTGTGCGCTTCTGATCAATTGGTGTCGAGTTTAAGAAAAAGAGTTTTTAGTTATTTATTTATTTTAATTAAGTTTGTCTTCAACCAGTCTGTTTCTTCGGATTCGGCCAACTCTAACACGAGTTGACCCAAAAAGTGAAAATACAAGGTTAAGGTCAATTTTTTTCAGGCAAATCTTTATTCTGGTTCGTAGTTGTTTCATGTCTTTTGCTTGCCAGTTACTCTCATACACTTTGCCTTTCAAAATAGCCCAAAAGTCTTCGATTGGGCGACACTCCGGTACGGCTGGCGGATTGTCAACTTTTTTGATAAAATTGATGTTATGAGTCTCGTAGCAGCTGGTCACGGTTTTGGCATAATGCGAAGAAGCCAGGTCCGGCCAAAATATGTAATTACCATCGGCATGATAAGCGTTGATGAACGGCACTAATCTTTTCCTAATACAATTCATTTCATAGATGGCTTTATTGACTGCAAGGCCACTGGGTATAAAAAATGGTTTTGAAACACCTTTGTTAGAAGCGGCCAGCCAGACAAGCACCTTGGGTTCGAACTTGCGCTTATTGCGATATTTAACACTTGGTGGAGTCTTGTCTCTGTTGCTAGAGTAGTAGGTGCTGTTTCCATTAATTGTTGAGTGTGACAGCGTGAAGTAAGACTCATCGTCAAGGATGACCGATTTTCCTTTAAAAACGCGATAAAGACGATCAATGCCAGTTTTGATTCTGGTTCTCTTGTCGATGAGGTATACCCTGTTTTGTATAACTTTTGATGTCAGTGTACTTGGCAAGAGTTTTAATGATATGTGAATGACTGCATCCAAATTTTCGACCAGCTTGCCTCATCGAAACTCGGTCACTGTGATCAAATATGGCTTTCAGGAGCTTGATCCTCTTAGGGGTCATGATTTTGGCCACACGACCACTTCCTTGCACTCTTTTGTGCCCAGAATCATTCTCAACACGTTTGATTATATCATAGATAGTGCTTCTTGGGATTTTTTCAGCATTGAAGTGAGCTACTGTGAACTTTTTACCTTGCAATTTATTATTCAAATAGAACTCGTAAATCCGTTTTCTTACCTCTTCTTGCTTGGTCATCATTATTTTTTTAGTTATTATTAATTATCTAAAAAAAAAAAAATTAACTTATAGAGAATTAAATAAGCTATAAAATGGATATAAACATGAATAAAAAAGATTTAGCTTGTGGCATTTAAAATTCAGTTTGTCCGGATTTTTAGTAACCACCCGTTATACATATATATATATATATATATATATATATATATATATATATATATATATATATATATATATATATATATATATATATATATATATATATATATATATATATATATAGCTTAGTAGCTAGCTACAAAATATCTACAAATCTATAGCGGATTGATAGCTACATACCAAAATTTTTTAGACAGCAATTTTATTACAATATGACGCTAGCTACAAAAGCCTGCGGGTCTTTAACTTATTAAGCTAGCTTATTAAGTCTTCGTAGCTAAATTGCTGTCAATCTTTATAAATATAGATATTAGCTTTTCGCCAACTTAAAAAAGCTACCGATCCTCGTGGCCAAATCGCTGTCTTTATCGTTACGATTACAGCTAGCTATTCGCTAGCCGATTTCCCACCGGGATATATGCATGTATGTATGTATGTACATTTAAGAAATTAAAAAAACTATAAAACTAGTTATCTTGGTATTTAAATGAACAAACAAATTATGACATCATGACTGACGTATTTGGTTAATTGTTTTTGGTCTATGGCTATTCATAAAAGGATCAAAGTATTTAGAAATGTCATCATTGTCACCTTTCGCTTCTCTCTCTATACGTCGAAGCACAGACGCTTCTGAAGGTGTTGCAACAACGACAGGAATGTTGCCTCTTTCAGGACGAAATTCAACGACGTTTTTCCCAGTTCTTTCAGCAAGTTCTTCATGGGTTTCCTTAAAGAAAAATAAAATTTTACAACCTCTAACTAACTTCAAACTGAGACACAACTTCTAACTTGAGACACAACTAAATTATACAATGCCTTATTTAAAAAATATTAGCGTCATTCCAAAATAATTTTTAAATGTAATGCAAGCCAAAGAAAAAATAGTAATAAAAAATAAAGATAAAAAACAAATAAAGAAATCTAAAAAATCATTAAATTTACTTATTAATAATGTTAATAATATAACTATACGTTAATATATAATAACAGGGTTCCCACTATTAAAACTAAGGCTAAAATTAAGGATTTTAAGGAGATTTAAGGAGATATTTTTCTAATATTTAAGGAGATTTGGTCGCGAACGACCATTTTTTGAAAAAAAAAGTAAGGATATTTAAGGAGAAAACGATTACATTAAAAACATAATCTTATTTTTTTTCAATAAATTTTAAATATAAACAGAGAAATTATTATTACTTTATATATATATATATATATATATATATATATATATATATATATATATATATATATATATATATATATATATATATATATATATATATATATATATATATATATATATATATATATATATATATAATGACAAAAATAGGTTTGAAAACTATCAACAATCTATATATTATTTTATTTATTAACAAGTATAATCCATTCATTTAAAAAAATTTTTCTAGATGAATAAAAAAAAAAAATAAGGAGAAATTAAGGAGAGCAGTCAAATTTTAACTTTTTTTAAGGTTATTTAAGGACATTTAAGAATTTTTATTTTTTAAGGATATTTAAGGTTTTTAAGGAGGTGTGGGAACCCTGAATAATGTACTATATATTGCTTCATAAATTCAAACAAAAATCTATAAAATTTATCTTAATTTAAATTTATTGTTATTAATGAAACCTGTTTAAAAGATTTAAAAAGACTTTTTTTTTGATAAAAAAAAAATGCCAAGTTTTTCACTAAACATAAATAACATTTTTACTAATCCTCTGTGACAAAATAGTATAATTAATAATAACTTGTAACAGAAAGAAACTTAAAATTTATTGAAAACATTACCGCGCAAAAGTTTAACAAATAAAAAAAATTCAAAAAAATGATAACATTTATGATTTTTTCATATTTTTTCATCATAGCACATTAGTGCTTTGTTGGACAGCCTCTAGATTATAATACTGCGTGACAACAACAAGGCAACTAAGTTAATAAGCACATATATGGGGATATTTTTCCGACAACCCAAAAGCATCTTGAAAAAATCATTTTTGTTAGTCAGATTTTCACCCTTCAACTGACGATCGAGGTGCTCCCAAATAACGTTTTCTCAAAGCCCAAATTTAAATAATAGTATTTAAATTTGGGCTTTGAGAAGGCTAGTCTAAAATTTGAATTTCAGAAGGCAAGTGCAAAACTCGAATTTCTTTACTTTAGTAGTCTGGGCTTTGAGAAGGGGAGTCCGAAACTCGAATTTTTTACTTTATTAATCTGGCCAGTTTAAAATTTAAATTTGATAAGGCTAGTCCAAAATTCAAACTTTTCAGAAATTCATTTTGAATTGAAATAAAATTATCATAGCATAGCCAGCCATGAGACATTTTGTCTTGATTATATTAAATATACATTCTGATCCATTGCACCTTTGATGCGATGAAGTGGAGTAATAAAATCAGGACTGAAAGATCTCAAACCATTACACTGCCACTGCCATGTTTAACTGTTGGCATTTAATATTTCATCTTCTGGATATCTTACGTACTTTAACGGTCTAAAGAATATAATTCGTTATTTTCATTATTTTCAACAGATTTTTTACTTTTTTTTGAATGTTGTATTGTTATAATGCAAAATAGTTTTTATTTAAAAACGAACAATATACTTTCACAAAAATAACAAATAACAATTATCCATTACCTTTCGAAAACCTAAATTCCTAAGACGTAGAAACGTACCTAATAGCTAATCTTTTTACCTTTCTTCATAATAACTGAAATGCAACGCTTAGGTATGGAGGAAATGAGCGTTTCAAGCGAAGATTGGGGGATTTCGTTCATTCCATCTAGATGGCCATTTTCAGTTCGTTAAGCTACTGTATTGTTTTCAATTTGCATACACGTTACAAATTCCATCACGGTCTTTACCGTATGTATCGATGTCTTTACCGTATGTATCACCATTTTGTCTGGACAAGAAAATCTCAGGCTCTTTTCGTCGTGCCAATAATATTGATATTCGTCTGAACCATCAAGATTAAATTTGAAACATGAACAAGAAATAATAATAAATTTGAAACTATTTTCTATTGATTTTTAAGAAACTTCTTTATTATAAAAGTATACAGCTGATAAAACATCACTTTCAAAAATTCCATACAACTTTAAACATTCTGGATGTAGACCTGGATTTTCTTTACAAGCTGAACTATTTAAAAGAATAAAAAGAACTACTACTTTTTTTCCCTTTGCATATGGAAGTGAATTATAAACTTTTTTCAATGCATTTCCTTTTTGTTGAACGTTTTTAAAAGATAAGTTCAGTTTTTTAGATGGATTTATAAGTTTTATTTTTATGGCGTTACTTTTTACAACTCTCAGTTTTGTTTTTCAGAATAAGCTTTTTTCTTCGATTCGGCTCTCAATTTTTCTCAATATCTCTTGAATCTTCATCTGGACATTTTTTTGTCAGGACTTCGAGACATATAATAATATTAATATTCTGCATAACGCTTAACTAAGATTGATAAGTAAGTACGATTGATATTCTGCAGAACGCTTTTTTTTTACTTATAACTTGGATTTTATTTCTTAAGAATGTATTATGAAAATGCAAACAATACACCAATATTTCAAAAATTATTTTTGATAATACTTTACGACATGAAAATGCAAAACTATATTTACTGAAAACCAAAATGAAAATTGAATTTTATTATGCAATTTTGACTTCCCTGATATATTCTTACGCTATTTTATAAAACGCTAATTATCCCTTTTATGGAGATATTGCAACTATAATTAAAACTATAATTAAAAGTTAATATAATGCTTTTTATTATTTATTTTTTTTTGCAGAGCAAAGTTACCCTTTATAGCAGAATTTCTAAAATAATCTTGCCCTTGTTTCCTTGTTTCATATTGATAATAAATTTTTTTTTATCTTCAAGTTCAGTAACGTAACCTAATTTTTGCAGACGTGCATGTCACATAAAAACACTTAAATTATTTTAATATCTAAAAGTTTCTAACTCAAGTCAATATACTTTATCTCAAGGAACCTTTTTAAATAAAAATATGGATATATATTTTTTTAAATTTTTGAAAAAATGGGCCTCAAATTACTCACTTTTTCAAATAATAAATAGAGGAAACAACTGCTAACATTCATCAAATTTAACTTCTTTTTGAAAATATTTTATACAAATATGTGTGTATATATATATATATATATATATATATATATATATATATATATATATATATATATATATATATATATATATATATATATATATATATATATATATATATATATAAATATATATATATATATATATATATATATATATATTTAATTCTGAAGTAAAAAAAAAGTATTGATGATGCTTTTTTCAATGTAACCATGGAGACACCTATTGTTATATTAAAAATAGGAAATGAACCTTATGTATTAGTCCAAGCAGATATACAGTATTTTTCTTGTTTTAATGATTGAAATCTTTGTTTTGATTCTTTCAATTTCTTTGCGACACGGATTGTATGATGTAGCGATAAAAGATTTACTTGGGCAGGCCTGTTAAAACAGACTTTCCCTATTTTCCTTTTTATTTTTATAACAAAGTATTTAAGCAATATTCATGAGTTCAAATTAATCTGTATTGCTTAGATTGTCAGTGTTATCTTGGGAAATGAATACAGGGGATTTTCGTATTGTATAATGGAGTTGAAAATCAATTGAGAAATATCCTAGAGCCTAGGACTGTATATAAATATAATATAAAAAAAAAATGAATATACCTGTATTGTATTTGGGGAGATAAATAAAAAAAAAGAATGTAATAAAATTAGTAAATAGTTAAAGCTTCAATATTATTATCTCTCAGTTATCTCATTTCAATCTCTCAGTTATCTCATTTCAATCTCCCCGTTATCTCATTTCAATATCTCAGTTATCTCATTTCAATCTTTCAGTTATCTTATTTCAAAATTATGTATGCATCATTAAAAAAAATAAATGTTTATTTAATTAGAAATTGCTAATCTTTTTATAAAATGGAGACATCTATGAAATGGAGCATCATAAATATGAAATGATATCATGAATATGAAATGACAATGGAGACATCTATGAAATGGAGCATCATGAATATGAAAAAAATAAATGAGGTTTTGTTTTCTATTTGTCTATATTGTTTTATAAATGCAGTTAATAATATTAACTTTAGTTTAACTTAATTGTTTTTATGACTTTTTTTAGGGATTATTTTTATGCTAAATTCATTAGAAAAATCAACTCTTGGATTGGATAAGAGTTATTTAATGCAGTTTTGCAGTTAAACAAGCATTCTAATCTTTCTCAACACATAATATTATAAAATTGACAAAAAGTCTTTCTCCTAATTCAAATCAATATTCAAACTTATGAAATGATTCAGTTTAATTAGAAAATACATGTAACTTAATGATTCAGTTGAATTAGAAAATACATGTAACATAATGCAAAATTTTCTTTTTAGAAGTGGAAGGCCAATTCATTCATTCATCCACCAATTCATTGGGATCTTCTAGAGTAACTTCTCACACTCTTCCGATACATCTTCCGATATATCTGATCAACTTAATAATTCCGAACTCTTCCGATATATCTGATCAACTTAATAATTCGTTTATAATAACAAGTAATGACTTTAATGACAGTTTTGTTTCTATATCAAAACTTATTGAAACTGTTAGTTTATCTATTATAATCTCGAAAGAACCTAACTACTCAAACAGAACCAATAGAGTAAGCTATTTTCATGTTGAAAAATTTATTCATATGCTTAATTTTATTATACTTTTTCATATTTACATTTACTTTGATATTTAGAAACAATTAGTGCCACAAAATTTACATTGACCAAGTAAAATTCAGCAAATGCAACAAATCACTAAGTAGCAAAGCCCAAAATATATCAAGACCTTGTTGTTGGTGAATTTGGTAACTAATTTTAGCATATAAATTTCTGTATTAAACAAAATAAATCAATATACAATTGAGTTCTTTTGCATTTTTAGCTTGTGCCTGTCAGATACTAAAAGTGTCATCAAAAGGACACGCGAACAGCAGTCAAGATTAAATTAAACATTGCATCAAAAGCTAAAGGGATTTAAAATATTAAATTGTATTCTGTCTTTCTTGATTATATGGTATATAAAGTTTAAAAAATTTATATATACACTTTTTTTTAACTTTTTTTCCCAATAGCAAATATTCCTTATATGTTACTTTTCCCAATAGCAAATATTCCTTATATGTTACTATATGTTTATAGAAATCTTAAATATCTATAAAATTGCTATATATATATATATATATATATATATATATATATATATATATATATATATATATATATATATATATAGCATTTTTATTGAATCAATGGAATATTCTGTTTAATGTACAGACCATCTTAAATAATTATAGAAAGTATTTTCTATAGACATTTGAAATATATGGTCTATAGAAAGCTTTATAGACTTTAGTAATTAAATTTCTAAGGATCATATGTTCCAAAAGTCTATAGAAAATAAGATTAATTTTTTTTAATAAAAAATCAATCATTTTCTATATACAATATATATATATATATATATATATATATATATATATATATATATATATATATATATATATATATATATTATATATTATATATTATATATTATATATTATATATTATATATTATATTAGTAAGAATTATATATATATATATATATATATATATATATATATATATATATATATATATATATATATATATATATATATATATATATATATATATATATATATATATATATATATATATATATATATATATATATATATATATATATATATATATATATATTATATTAGTATGAAAACATTGATTAATATGAATTCTCTTAATACAACTAATAATTTATTATTAGAAATTTTCGCTGGATTTCGCGGATACCATCACTATCCCTAGAACTAAGGAAAATATTTCTTAAAGCTGGCTATAGAGTAGTCTTCAAATCAAATCCAAATTTAAAAACATTACTAACGTCAAAAAACAAAACTAAATTGCCACAAAATAGTCAACCCGGAGCTTATTTGATTGAATGCAAATGCTCAAAGAGATACGTAGGTGAAACTAAACTTCAAATTAGGACTCGAACTCAACAACATCTAAAAAGTTTAAACGAGGGGAAACATTATCAATCTGCAATAGCCACCCATAATAAGTTTTGCTCACAAGAAATAAAGTGGGAAAACATAAAAACAATTAAAGTTGAAACAAAAAAATTTGAAAAGTGCGCGAAGCTCTAGAAATACATAGGTTCCAATGTTCTCCTTTACATGGCGGAATTAATTTAGATAGCGGGCAGTTTGTGTAAACTAAATTTTGGACTCAGGGGATAGTCCTGACAGAAAGAAGCCATTCAACTGCTGACGTCAGTTAATTTTAAACTGTTTCTAACATTACAAAAAAACTTTATTGTATGATTGTTACGAGCTGATGATGCTGGTAACCATAATCCAGAGAAAATTTCTAATAATAAATTATTAGTTGTATTAAGAGAATTTGTATTAATTGATGTTTTCTTACTAATATAACATATACTCTTATACACGATGTCAACACTAAAGATATATATATATATATATATATATATATATATATATATATATATATATATATATATATATATATATATATATATATATATATATAATATATAAAGTAAAAATTGTTATTATAATTTTGATGTCAAAATAATGATCCTACTTGTAAAGCGAGTCCTTGAAATGTAGCTTTAACAACTGACAGAGGTGTAGTGCGTCCTACAATCTTGCAGCGTATATTTTCAATACCAGCTAACTCACATATTGCTCGAATGATCCTTTGACAACGACGCCCATGTCCTAAAATTGTAAACTCTTTTGTCACTTCTACTTTATTGTAAGGTAGTATTAGAAAACCTTTTTCAAATAACTCGGCTAGATATATCATTCAAATAACATATAACTCCATTAGATATATCATTCAAAAAACATATAACTCTATTAGATATATCATTCAAAAAAATATAAAATTTGAGGATTTCCGTGGTGTGGTGACTAAAATATTTATGCCAATGATAGTATCATTGATCAATGATAGTATCATACTGAAATGTAAAAGTGAGAGAAAGACATTTCATTAATTCAAGGGTAGAAGTTAAAAATTAGGAAACTTGAAAATTATTTGACCTTAATATCTTTTAACTAACCTACTAGTATATATATATATATATATATATATATATATATATATATATATATATATATATATATATATATATATATATATATATATATAAAATGTTTATGTAATATTTTATTATTGTTTATTTTTTAATAAACAATATTTTTATTAAATTACTTTTTGCAAATAACACAATCTTTATAATTAGCCATGAAAGCATATATCAACAACTTGTAATCGTGTCAAGGTAGTTTATAAAAAATTTTCTGCATGCGTGTAAGCATTTGTTTTTTTTTATATGCATATGTGTATGTATTTGTGTTGTTGTGTCTGCATATGTGTAAGTATTTGTGTTGAAACTATATAATCTCTCAATTACTTTTTATTGTAAAGTTATTAGCTGATTTAACATAGTTAAACAAATTTACCTGGAACTTTCCTTTCAAATTTAATTGTGGTGCTGTTAACTTTGGTTTCTATGCTGTGATAAACTAAAAAACAAACATAAATGTAACAGCTAAAAAGATTTATTGTAAAATGTTGTAACAACTAAAAAGATTTATTGACACAAAAATAAGATTTAAAGCCTATATTTTTGAAAAATAAAAATATGTATTTTAAAGTTTTATGTCCGTGGTTCAACATTTGTATGGATCGGCCAAGTTTCTTTAATGCCATTTTTGTATTCAAATATGTCATTATTGAAGAAATGAAGAATATATTAGTATATATTGGATATTATTAAATAAAATAACATTAAAAAAGTTTATTATATTTATTATTTGTCTGAACATAAGATTATACATAAAATTCGTTAATTGAAAAAAATTTATACTAATTTTATGCAAAAAGGAATTTATCAGATTCCCTTAAACAGACCCGATTTACAAATTAATAGTATGTCAATGCTACTGACCATATAAACTATATTTAGACCATCAATAACATGCATATAATTAGTTAATGCCACTTTCAACAAAATAACGGTCAACTGCAGACTTAAAATCTTTAATTGTTTTAGCGTTTATCGCCTTCTGAGGTAGGTTATTCCACATTTTAACAACTCTATGTGTAAAGAAATTTTGTCACTGTGGAAATTCGGGCGCTAAAGTACAGATTAATCTTTCTCGATGGCCCCGGGTGTGACCCACAGGACCTTCGATTCTAAGTGAGCAAGCTGGTAGTGGTTCATTTTGCCAAGTGATGAGATCAAAACCACGGATAAACTTAAAATATTGAATAAGATCAGCTCTTGTTCTTCTTAATTCAAGTGTTGTTAAACATAGTCTCTTGAGTCTTACATCGTATGGTAAGTGTTTCAGATATAACTTTTGTTGCTCTTTTTTGAATGCGCTCAAGAGTTCTTATATCCTTTTTTTAATAGGGTGACCAAGCTTGTGTAGCAAACTCAATGTGTGGACGAACGTAGGTAATATAAAGAGACTTCCAGAGAGATAACCCTCTACTTTTAAATATTTTTTAAGGGTACTGAGTACTTGATTCGCTTTAGCAGCAGCTGCTTCAACTTGATTTTTTTGTCTAAGGTCATCTGAAATCAAAACTCCAAGATCTCTCTCTAAAGAGATTAATTCAATTTCTTGTTGCTGTCCATGGTCTCTGTATCCTGATATAAAATATTTTGCGTTAGACTTTGTTTTACTACAGTTAATTTGCATGACTTTGCATTTTTTTAAATTTAATTTTAGATGCTATTTTTTACACCATAATACTGTATTATCGATATCTTGTTGTAGTAGATTAGCATCTTCTGGCGTCTTAATAACTCCGATTATCTTACTATTGTAAGCATAGAGTTTTATAGAATGGTGTATATGGTTAGGTAAATCATTGACATAGAGAATAAATAAAAGAGGACCTAGGACAGAACCCTGTGGTACACCGCTAGCAACGTCTTTCCATTCAGATATAGAATCACCCAATACTACTCTTTGTTTTCTGTTTCTGAGCCACGCTTCGATCCATGCAATCAATTAACATTGTATGCCTTTTATTTTATGAATAAGTGATGGGGCACTTTATCAAACACTTTTTCTAAGTCAGTGTACACTATGTCAACTTGATATTTGTTTTGTATGGCTTTTGTAACATTGTCCAAAGTTTCAAGTAAATTGGTAACATCATTTTTTTAAGATGAAACTGTGTTGAGATGTCAAGATAATATTGTTTTCCCTACAGTATTTCATGATTGTTTCACGTATAAGATTTTCTATAATTTTACTTACAATAGATGTTAACGAAACTCCTCTGTAATTTAAAGCTTCTAATTTACTACCTTTTTTAAAAATTGGGGAAATATTTGCCATTCTCCACATATCAGGAATTTCACCGCTTGTCAGTAAAAGACAATAAATAATTGTTAATGGATTTGCAAAAATTTTTGCACATTCTTTGAGGACTCTAGGATAAATGTTGTCATATCCCATTGATTTTGTTGTATTTAGTTTTTCAATTCTTCCTTGAATAATTTTTACAGCAACTTATACTAGCTCCGTTGCTACTTTGTATAATGCTTTTGTTTGTTGTTGAAAATCTGGAAAAGGACAAGATGGCTCTTCTAAAACTGAGTAAAAATAATCGTTTAATATATTGCATATCTTCTTATTATCAATAGTAGTTATATTATTTTTGTCTTTTAGAGCACAAATTTAATTGTCAATCTGTGTGTTTGTTTCAGATGTATGAATGAATGACTTTTACATTTGATTTGGCTTTTTCAACTAACTGCTCCTCGTAGTTTTGTATTTCTTTTTTTATGATTTCTTTAACGCTTTTACAAGCAATTTTATATTCGGTTTTAATAATATTTTTATGTGCATTCCTTCCAGCAGAGATATATTTTGCTCATAATTCACGTTTGTTTCTCAGCTTATATTTTACTTTTGGCGTAATCAATGGATGCTTTTCTTCACAGTACTTCATCGATTTTTGCGGAATGAATTTGTTGCATGCTTTTTCATATTTGATAATTAGTAAATTGTAACATGCATTGACTGATAGATCTTTAAATAATTCAACCCAATTTATTGTACTTATGTGCTTGTTTATTTCTGCATAATTTCCGCTGCTCCATATATAACAACTCCAAGAAATTCGAGACTTGACAACATTTTTTTTTATAGTAACGCTAAATTTTAACACAAAATTGGCAGGCCCTCGAAGAGTACTACCAAGCAGAGTGTTAACTGATCCAGAGTGTTAACTGGTTTTTTGTCCCCAATATGTTGATACGTAGGAAAATTCACAAGTTGGGTAAGATGATTCTCTTCAAGACTATTGATGAATAATTTTGCTGGTCTCTTGTCTCCGACAACATTTTCATTAATGCGGTTAAAAATAGCAATTTCGCTTCCTGCATGATAATATTCATATCGAATATGGGGATAGTTAAAATCACCAGTGAGAACCATGCTTGAGCATCCTAATCTGACAAGAGAGTTATTTGCTAAAGTTATTGATTCGTTTATTAACATGTTTGTTTCAAGTGTACTAGATAAAGGCCGATAAATACATCCCACAAGAACTGCATCCTCATTTGTATAGATAACATTTGTTCAATATTTTGTAAATTTAGCTCATAAATGTTGACATCAGAGACTTTGAGATCTTTGCATATGTATAAAAAAACCTCTCCCCCGGGGTGCTTGAGTTCGGTCTTGTCTGAATAACTGGTATTCGTTTAGCATTGCTATAGAATTTTCGGTATATTTTGTTTCCGTTATTGCTATTACAGTGTGGCCTAGTGTTTTTCAGCTTGTGTAAAGGTAAGTATTAAAATTTTTTTGCGCATTTTAAGTGGTTTATTGAAAAGCACTTTAAAAAAAAGCAAGTATAAAAAATAAATCTTTGTATTTCTTCATATTCATTTAATACATGATGTCAATGGACTAATATAAACCTTTAAGAAATTAAAATGTTTTAAAATTTTATATTACTTTTTTATATGAGTTTTTACATTTTAACCAATACAAACAATTATAAATGCACAAGATTTTTTGCAACTTTTAGCTGGGCAGCTAGTTCAAATTGTTTTTTGTCAAGAGAGTTTGCATTCATTGACTAAAAGATTAATCTATATATTGACTGCAGTTTCTTCTGACACTTGTGAGTTTACCGATTAATACCTGCGTTTACATTGCGTCAAATGAAACAAAAGTAACAACAAAGCTTTAAAATTTAGTACCAATGCTATAAAAGCTATAAAATTTAATACCAATGTTTTCATTATTGATTTATAAGTTTAATCTTAATATATTGTGGCTTTTTTATATTCTTTAGATATTGTAATAAACTCACACATTTATTTGGAAGTAGTAAGAAACTAATTTTAATTATCAAAACTAAATTATAATAATATAAATAATAAGAATAACAATAATGAGAGTAAAATTAAAAATTTATTTGTAATTATTGATTGTAAAACAAGATGGAACAGCTTATTATCAATGCTTGAAAGTTTTCATAAATTAAAAAATTGCATAAAAAAGGGGTTGTTGATATCAGTATTAATGGTTATATAAAAATGTTATGTATAAAAATGATAATGAGTATGATATTGTTTCTGAATTAGTAAACGTGCTAATTTCAGTAAGAGCTCTTTGTAGACGCGATGCAAACCTTATAACTGCTTACATTGCGTTAGAGTTTATGCTAACTAAATTAAAAAAACTGAATACTGCAACAAGTTGTCAACTTTTTAATGTATTAGCATCCAGAATCAAAGAGCGAAGGACTGAATTAAGTAGTCTACTGCACTATCTACATTACAGGGAAAATAATTTAATGTACATAGGAGAAGTTTTTGAAAAATCTTCAAACTTTAAAAATAAAAAAATAATGTTGAAGCTTCTAAACAAATTAAATGTAAAAAATTGAAACCATCCTACAAATTCCTTGGATAACGTTGAGGATTTGTAAGTCAAGAAGATGATGAAATACCGAAAAGCGCAGATAATGAAATGCCAAAAACTATTAGTGAACAACCAAATGAAGCCCTCAAAAAAGTTTTTCTAGCAACTTCCAGAAATTCTTTGTTAAGATTAGGCAAAACTCTTACGTCTAATTTATCAAAAAAAATGTCATTGTTTGAAATTGGTTGTACTCAAAGTGAAAGTGGTTGTACTCGTGGTGAAAGTGGTTGTTCTCGTGGTGAAAGTGGTTGTTCTCGTGGTGAAAGTGGTTGTACTTGTGGTTAAAGTGGTTATATTCGGAGTGAAAGTAAATGTACTCGTGGTGAAAGTGGTTATACTTGGGATGAAAATGGTTGTACTCAGGGTGATGGTCTTCAGAAAGTTTATGATTTTTTAGTGACAAATAAACCAATGAGCATAGAGTCAGAAATAGCATTTTCCTCCGCAGGACTATTTTGCAATAAAATAAGAAGTTGCTTAAGTGATGATAGTTTAGATTGTTTGAGCTTTCTGCGAGCATATTTTTTAAAGACAACATAAATAACTTTATGTTCAAATTTTAT